AAGACTTATGTTAATATCCGTGCTAACAAAAGCACCTCTTCTTCTATCATGGGGCGATTGCTCCCTGGGGACAGACTTCCTATCAGTCTTAATAGCGAAATTCTGGACAACGGCGAAACATGGTACCATGTAAAGCTTCTCTCTGGTGTTGGTAGTGGATATGTCCGCTCTGATAATGTTGATGTCGTAGAGAATAGTTCCTCGTACTCTCAGGCTCAAACTCAGGCTCTGGTTGATTCCCTTGTTGCTCAGGACAAAAAGAACTATGACCTACTGCTCCAACTAAGCAAGACAGCCGAGGAGTTGAAAGGGAAAGGCCATACCGTTAGCTCTCAGCAAAAAGAACTTTCGGACATTGCCTTGAGGTTGTCTGAAAGACAGTCCGCACTGAAGAATGAGTCTTGGTTTGGCTCTATCAAAAACACAATCTCTTCCTATTGGGAAAGTGCTAAGAGTGCTTTCGAGAAACTCCTTGCTTCTGTCTCTGGCATAGGTGCTATACCTGTCATTCCCGTGATTATTGCTGCCGTTGCTGTCCTTTCTGCAGGTGTCGGCGTTGGCTACATCTGTTTTGCTCCAAAGTACGAGCAGAGCAAAGTGGATTGGGACAAGCTCAACTCTCTGAAGAAAGTGTTTGACGAAATGGCAAAAACTAACCCTAAGGCTGTAGATGATGCCAAAAAGGAGATTCAGGATCTGACAGACGACGCCTATAACAAGGGCAAGAACGAGGGAACTTGGGACGGAGTATGGTCCATTGTTAAGCCTATTGCGTTAATGGGTGCAGGCTTCTGGCTTGTAACTAAATTTATCGACACGCAGAAAAAGAGACGATAGCATGACAGTAGATGAATTTTACATACATTTCGCAAGTGCAGGAATGGCGGTACAAAGGAAGTACAAAGTGCCGTACCTTTCCGCACTTGCCCAATGTGCTCTCGAGACTGGTTGGGGAAAGTCTAAGCCTGGAAACATGTGTTTCGGTATAAAGATTACTCCCTCATATACTGGCAAGACTCAGGAGCTTACAACGACAGAATATGTAAACGGAGTGAAGCAGACTGTAAAGAGCAAGTTCCGTGCCTATGACAGCATCGAGGAATCTTTCCTGGACTACGGCAATTTCCTTACTGTCAACCCTCGATACAAGAACGCCTTTAACTATCCTAACGATCCATACAGGTTTTGTGAGGAGGTAGCAAAGGCGGGATATGCCACAGACCCGAACTATTACAGCAAGTTGAAGTCCATCCTCGACAAACTTAAAGGGTGCGAAGCTTCGTCTTCGGACAACAGCTCTATTCTGCTTTCCTTTGGTTTGCTGGCAATAGGTGGTATTCTGGCTTATTTCCTTAAATAATAACTTATGGCAAAGATACAACTTCACACTAAACAGATAACAGAGAACACTCGTATTGCACCCGACGGTTGCAGTTCCATGACCTTTATCAACCAAGGCGATGACGAGGCTACAATCATGGGCTGTGTTACTATCGAGCCCTCTTCCTCAGTCTCTATCGAACTTGATGCGGCGGATGTCATAGACACTGACATCGAAGTTAATTTCGCCTACAAGTCCGACAACAGAAACCTCGCAGTTATCTTTATGTCTAACCGAAACAACTTGAAACAATGAATGTAACTAAATCAGGGAATACGGCAGGGGCTGCTGCCCCTATGAACATAGATGTCATATCTTCGGACAATTCTATAAACATTGAAAAGACAGAAGAGGGCAAGTCCGTAACCTATGACCTAAAGGTGGAGACCCCACCCTCTGTCCAGGAGATTACATCAGAGGACAATACCATTAGCATTGTCAGGGATGGCGCACGCGTTGACTTGTCCGCCCCATCACTGAAGATGCTCGAGGGGTATAAGTGCGGATTCGGAACGACCAGTACAAAAGGCTTGGCAAAATTCTGTGACCTGTACTGGACCAGAAGGCACGGGGCAGTTGACACCCTGCACCATTACCACACAAAGTTCCAGTATGTGGGCGATGGGTATGTCATCAACTATACTGCAGACTTGTCACTGACATTCGGAGAGATAAACGGAGCGCAGATCTGCGAAGCTCTGGTATATAACGAAACGGCGTTTACGGAAAAGGAAAACGTTCCTATCGACACTCTAAACCAATACAAGATCTCCAACATCCTCAAGATTGACTATATCGCTGATGCCACTCGAACTGATACGGGCGACCCGACAAAATCCGAGGGGTGGGGACATGCTGCCATTGTCGTTAATATCACACATGAACGCATAGGCAACCTGCACATACTCCCTTTGTCCTCGCTTGCCACAAAGGAAAACAATTCCAACCTCTGCTGGTACTTCCTGAACAAGGAATGCGTGGATGGGATATGCTCAGTATATAACCAGCAGGGAACACTCAGGGACTGCTCTGTGTATAATCCGGGGGAAACTCCTGAAGGCGACTTCATCACCAAGTCCGGGTCTTTCTTCTATGATACTTTCTCGAGGGACAGAAGAACAACTGACTACAACTATAATGGTACGGTCTATCCTCCTACTGTGGGAGAGAAGTCTATCTGTATTTCTTCGGATGTAGAGCAAGGAAGTATAGTCAGTGGAGCGAATAGTCATGTAGAAGGAGACGATAATGTAGTAACAGGGGCAAAGAGTTTTGTTACGGGAGAAATGAATGCTGTATTCTCAGACAATGTAACCGTTCACGGAAACATGCACCATGTAACTAATGCATCAGAATATGCTTTGGTCGCCGGATATGGCAATGAAGTTCAATACGGATGGTGTTCCGCTGTATTAGGTAACACCAATAAGGCTGGAGCTTTCCAGTTTATCGCTGGCATAGGGAATGAGGCTACCGGCGGCTCCTATTCCAGCATCATAGGCGGCAGTAATAGTGTTAAGGAAGTGCAGCATTCCCGCATAATAGGAGAAGACAATGGTGTTGAGAGTGGTTCAGAGCAAGTCTTCGTACTCGGTAGGGAGAACAATGTCAACGGAAGTCATGTTACCATGATCGGAGAAGAAAACAGTTCTGAAGGCTCGAACTCTGTAATACTAGGTTTCTCTAATAAAGACAACGTGGTAGGCAACGCCTCTGTAATTATCGGAAATAATAACGTAGGCAACACCGTGAATTATGGATCTGTAATACTAGGCTCGTCTAACACGAACAACAGTGCATCCTGTCCGTATTTCATTATCGGATATAACTGCAATGATTTTCATCCAACTGCACCAGCTATTGCCCTAGGTGAACGTGCAAACTCTACCCCTATATGTGGGAATATTCCTCTTGGTCTTGCTATTGGAGTCGGAAAGTCCCGCAATATCATATCTGCCGATAAGGCGGCGAATGTTGAGATAGCCGCTCGCTCGGTTGTGATCGGAGACAGAAACCAAGAGTGTAAGTCAGACGGAACAATCATTATAGGACACGGTTGCGAAGGGTGGGATGATGGATCCACTATGGAGGACGGTGCCAGAATTGTTCTTGGTGGTCATGCTCGCCCAACTCTGATAGATCACAACCCTCTTTGCCTTGCCATAGGTAACGGTAACCCCGATGATCCAGGCAACTGTATTGCTGCTGATTTTGATGGCAACGTAAAGCTTTACGGCAACGTGCTTTTCGATGTTGACGGCGTGCAGTATTCCATGAAGCAGATTGTGGACGCATTGAAATCACTGAATGCCTTGTAACCTATGGACATAGCAATAATTTCCCAATGGGTAAGCCTCGTAATTCTGCCCATTGCTGGCTTTGTAGTCGGTAAGAAAAAGAGTGATGCTGAGGCCATCCGGACGATGACCGAAGCTTACGACTTTGCCCTCCAGTCGCTCCGTAAGGAGTTCGAGGCAAGGGACAGGGCAAAGGATCTGATGATAGAGAAACTTAACACCAGAATCAATGAACTTGAAGAAATTCTTAAGCGCAACAACATTCCTTCTGTGTAGTCTGCTTTTCGTAACCTCCTGCTCCATCAAGCGGGAGGTCTCGAAACTCAAGGAAGAAATAACCAGGATAGAGAAGCTGCAGGAGGAGCAGTTGATGAAGGATTCTCTATCTGTTGTTTCAGAGCTTCATGACGAAAAATCGTTCTTTTCCGATCATAGGGACCTTTCAAGCGAACTGACATTTGACAATTCGATTATTGAGAGGTGGGAATACGATTCGGCAAACGGAGGAGGGGCGAAGCTGCAGTCCTATACAAAAATGACATTTGACAAAAGGGCTGAACGCAAAAAGGAAGCCGAACAGAAAGATGTCGGAACGGCTCTGAATTTTTCAGAGGTCGAATTGAAAGATGTCGGAACGGCTTCAAGAAAGATGGAAAGCGAATTGCAAGATGTCAAAAGGGACACGATCAGGACAAAAGCCGATTGGACAAAATTTTTGTGGATAATACCACTTTTACTTTTATTATTGTTTATTTTTTATTCATTCAGAAGGGGGAACAAATGAGTTCCCCTTTTTCTTTTTATATTTGCAAAATCGAATAATACTAATTTTATTTTTATGTATAAAACAAGAAAAGATTTATCGGCAGAGAGATTCACAGACTGGCTAAGCATTGGTGTAGCAACAACAGCGGGAATAACAGGGTACGGACTATTAGTAGCAGGAGGATATTCGGGGAAAGCCGTCTTATGTTATGTGTTTGCTACAATCCCTTTGTTTCTCCTAAAGAAGAAAGCACCTGCAGTATTCACAAACAACACGGATGTCCCCGTGTATGTCAAGGACGAATACTCAGACGAGGTGTCTATCGTTATGCCAGGAACTAAGACTGCAGTACTCGACGGCTTCAAGTATAGGGGCAAGCTCTACAAAATCTCTAACGGGGTGCATGCCACACTGAATGCTGACGGAACAGTCTCTTACAAGAACTGGCTACACAAGAACCTTCAGCAGTCCCAAGGTGAAGAGTACATATTCAAAGCTGGTGAAGGTTGGGGTGAACTGAATGAGGCAAACGAGGAGGAACTAAAATAAAAGACAGATGAAACAGCAATCTAATTATAAAACAAGAAAAGATTTGTCGGCAGAGAGATTCACAGACTGGTTGAGTATTGCGTTTGCAACGCTTGTAGGATGTACAGGATATTCTATTTCACAAGGTATTTTAACATGGAAAGCATTGGGCGGAGTTATAGGAGCAGGTATCACTATTTTTCTCCTAAAGAAGAAAGCCCCTGCAGTATTCACAAACAACACGGATGTCCCCGTGTATGTCAAGGACGAATACTCAGACGAGGTGTCTATCGTTATGCCAGGAACTAAGACTGCAGTACTCGACGGCTTCAAGTATAGGGGCAAGCTCTACAAAATCTCTAACGGGGTGCATGCCACACTGAATGCTGACGGAACAGTATCTTACAAGAACTGGCTACACAAGAACCTTCAGCAGTCCCAAGGTGAAGAGTACATATTCAAAGCTGGTGAAGGTTGGGGAGAACTGAATGAGGCAAACGAGGAGGAACTAAAAACAATTACACAATGAGAACAGATACAGAAACAAGAAGAAAGATTCAGAGCGGAAAGTATAGACCTATTGACTTCTGCAACAAAAAGAACCCCCTACATATAAATTATTCAACTTATTATGTGTGGAAGAAAAGGGACTTTGTCGAGGATGACAAACCAGGCAGACACAAGAACGGGTACAAGAAACAGTTGACAGAGGAGCAAGAGCAAAAGATTTGCGAGCTTAGGGTAAAGGAAGAATACTATGGACTTCCCATTACTGAATTCCATAATATTATCAAAGAGGAATATCCTTGCTCCTATAAAGTATTATGGAAGCTACTTACAAAACACGGACTTGTAAGGAAACCCAAAGAGAAGCATGAAGGAACATTCGGGGACACTCCTGAAGGATACCTGCATATTGATGTTACATATATGCCATATATTAAAGGAATAAGAACTTATTTGTTCGTTGCCATAGATCGAAAGACAAGGCTTGCATATTGGGAACTCTATGACAGAAAGACAGTGGAAAATACAATAGATTTCGCCCAGAAGTGCAGACAGTTCTATCCATTCCCGATTTACCATATACTGACAGATAACGGCAAGGAGTTCAGCGCAAAGTTCTCGAAAGACTGGTGTTCTTTCAATCGCATTGCCTACTCTCATACAAAGCCATATACTCCACAAACAAACGGCATGGTGGAACGACTGAACGGAACAATAAAAAAAGAACTGATCCATAGACAAAGATTCTCGAGCATCATGCGATTAAACAAATGTCTGAAGGAATATCAAGACTACTACAACAATAAAAGGAGGCATTCTTCAATACAAGCAACTCCAGTAGAGGTGGGAAGAAACTTAGGCTATGCAGTATAAAAAAGATTATCTTTGCAAAAATCTATTATATAAACCGTTATAATCATGGAAATTGTATCAAATAGAAGACTATTCATAGACGGCTATTTCCTTAGCCAGATACCTTTAATTGCTGGTGCAGTAATGGCGTGTTCTTTGCAGAAGAAATCATTGCCATATCTAATGGCTGGAATAACTGGAATGACAATAACAGCCTTTTACACTAAGGCCACAGTACATAACCTCTCAAAACTAAACATTATCTGCAAGGACGAGAACAGCGAGGATGTGGCACTCTGCCGACCAGGACAAAGCGCAGTAGGAGTAGATGGCTTCAAGGTAAACGGCAAAGTATGGAAACTCATAGACGGAAACCATGCGTATGTACTACCTAACGGCAAGGTAACATACTCTCTGGGGCTAGGAACAATTCTGCAACTACTTAAAGGCACAGAGCCACCATTGGACAACAGACAAGGCTGGGGGAAGCTATATGCAGCAAAAGAAGAAGATTTTTTATAAAAAGAATATCATGGAAATCATATCAAATAGAAGACTATTCATAGACGGGTATTTCTTGAGTCAGATACCTTTAATTGCAGGTGCAGTAATGGCGTGTTCTTTGCAGAAGAAAGGCTCACTCTATTTAGCTGCAGGATTTACTGGATTAGCTATGACTATGTATTGTGCCAAAGCCACAGTACATAACCTTTCAAAACTAAACATTATCTGCAAGGACGAGAACAGCGAGGATGTGGCTCTCTGTCATCCAGGACAAAGCGCAGTGGGTATAGATGGCTTCAAGGTAAACGGCAAAGTATGGAAACTCATAGACGGAAACCATGCGTATGTACTTCCGAACGGCAAGGTAACATACTCTCTGGGGCTAGGAACAATTCTGCAACTACTTAAAGGCACAGAGCCACCATTGGACAACAGACAAGGCTGGGGGAAACTATATGCAGCAAAAGAAGAAGATTTTTTATAAAAAAGATTTTGTAATATCAAAACTTATACTACCTTTGCAGCATAAAAATTGATGGTAGGAGAGGGGAAAGGATACCTATCCCTTTTCCCCTCCAACCCATAAGGGGAAAAGAACATGAAAAAAAAGGAATTTATTACAGTTAGAGAGTACATCTCTCAGGACGCTAACATTTTAAGCGTCAAAGTTTTCAAGTTAGTTAATGCTGAGGCTAAAAAGGAAATTTTAGCTTTCGCTGATGCTGTCGATGCTGAAGGTATCAATGTGTCGGAAGTGTCTTTCGACTTCCCTAACCTGCTTGCCATAGTCAAGTATGAAGGAGGTTACGAGAACTCTGTCAGAGTAAGTGAAATATACATTAACCGCTATGAGTATGGAGACAAATAGCGGTGCAACTACGGGCAAGCGAGACTATCTAGAGTCTCGTCTTGCCCTTCTTGGTATTACGGAGGACGAGAACAAGATTCGTCTGCATGGGTGTCATCAGGTGGCTTTTGACATCGAGACTGACTATGATCAGACAGTTTTCGGAGTTGATGCTAACGGAAACATCACGATCAATCTTTGGTCGATAGACCGTTATCCTGTTACATATAAAGCAGAATCTAAGGCAAGGTATGATACAGGACAGAGCGACAAGGAGAAGAGTTTCTTTATCACTCGTCTTTCACCTGACAACATCAAGAAGATGCAGGAGGAAGCCAAAGCAAGAGGAGAGAAAGATCCAGAGATTCCAAAATACATACATCCTAAAGGTCAAGGTACTGTTCCTTTCTTTCACGACAATATCATTACAAAGTACGAGAAAGCGGAGCAGATTACTACTCTTGTGCTTACAGAAGGCTACTTCAAGGCTTTCAAGGCTAACAAGCACGGAATACCCGTTGTCGGTCTTGCTGGAATCACCACGGCCACAGACAAGACTAAGAAACTGCACACGGACATAGCAAAGCTTATAACTACTTGCCGTGTCAAAAATGTTATCATGCTGTATGACGGAGACTGCCTGAACATATCTATGAAGGCAGTGGCTAAAGGTGTTGACCTTGCTACTCGTCCAGCTGGCTTCTATAACTCTATGCTCAAGATCATTGACCTGATGAGGGATTTCGATGTAGATGTATATTTCTCTTACATCAAGAGCTCTGAGATTGAAGGAGAGCCCAAGGGACTTGATGACCTACTTGTACAACTTAAGGGAAAGGAGGAGGGAGTAAGGGAAGACCTCTTACATGTGGGTGGTGGGATAAGCAAGTACTTCGACAAGATGCGTGTTACCAGAGGCAAGGACACGGACAGACTCAAGAAACTTTTCAACCTCAAGAGTGCTGAGCATTTCTATCAGGCTTGGGATATAATCATTGCAGATCGTGAGTTTGTCTATTATGGCAGCACCTATAAATGCGAGACGAACAAGGACGGGACAAAGCGTCTTATTCTGGTAGAGAGCAGAGACCTTCAGGAATACATGAGAGTAGGCACGGACTACTACAGACTAATAGACAAGCCTATACTGGGGACGGATGAAGTAGAAAAGGAACTTGTCTCGTGGAAGAAGTCAACCATTATTGACGACTACGGCAAAGAGGCTCTGAAGAGAATTGTCATATACAACGGTTTCATAAACTATCCTGACAATATCACTTGGCAGAAGGTCCGAAACCACAGATACAACCTTTATGCAGAAGTCAACCACAGCACAGAACCGGGAAGCTTCTATCATACATCAAAGTTTATCAGACATATTTTCGGGGAGCAGTACGAACTCGGGCTTGACTACCTCAAGAACCTGTACGAACACCCTACACAACCGCTTCCCGTTCTGTGTCTGGTCAGCAGAGAGAGAAAGACAGGAAAGAGTACTTTCCTTAACTTCCTTAAACTGATATTTCGCTCTAACGCCATAATCTGCGGAAACGCTGACATACAGAGTGAATTCAACGAGTTTATAGCTACGAAGCTTATTGTTGCGGTCGATGAGACCTCTCTGGCTGACAATGCTAAGACGACAGAGAAAATCAAGATGCTTTCTACTGCAAGGAAGCTCGTTGCCAATGGTAAGGGAAAGAACCAAATAGAGGTGGACCATTTTGCAAAGTACATCCTTTGCTCCAACGACGAAACAAGGTTTATCTATACCACAAAAGAGGAGACAAGATTCTGGGTTAGGAAAGTGCCTACACTGGCTGACAAAGAGGACATCAACATACTGCAAAGAATGACAGAGGAACTTCCGCACTTCCTCGACTTCCTCCGTAACCGTTCTTTCTCGGTAGAGAATACGACAAGAACTTTCTTTGACGAGAAGCTCATCAGAACGGAGGCTTTCGAGAACCTGGCTAACGAACAGATGCGCCCAGCTGAGAAACTCCTCAGAACTTGGATCACTGAATACTTCGAGGACTTCGACGACGAGGATGTACTGGAGATAGACAAGGAAAGACTGAAGCAGTGGGTGCCTGGTCTTGCTCCATACGAAAAGGAGATAGACAGGATTTGCCGAGAGAACCTTGGGGCAGAAAAGAAAAGGGATGCTTCAGGGAAAACCAAGAGTTGTCGTTTCAAGTTCTTTGTTAAGGAACTGACCTACGAAGAAAGCGACACGATGACAACCAGAGCAAAGGCCTTTGTCGGTAGGCCGTATGTGTTCAACAGAAAAGATTTTTTATAACATTTAATAATTTGTAATATGGTAGCTAAATTTTGGCGTGGTTGGTGTGCAGTACATGATGAACGTGTTTTGTTAGTTAGTGATGTATGGATTAATTCCTACACTTTGAGCGATTATCCTAGGGTGTTGGTGATCATTGCCCGTGTTAATTGGTCTGTTTCTTTATTCTAATATGCAATCGAAAAAAGTGAAACTTTTAATGCTGTACATGATATATTAACAAGGAGTCCGCTTGTGAAAGTAGGCTCTTTACACACTGAGTAACGAGACAATGAGTAGTGGCTGTCTATGATTCAGACTTTGCGTAGGAAGGCTGGAAGCCTCGGGAAGTCTGGAAGCCTCGGGAAGGCCAGGGGGTGCGACTCCCTCACTCAGTACGATGTAAAAAATATCCTATTTTTTTATCATGGTTCTTTGTTAAAGTAGCGGGCTTGTGAAAGTCCGCTTTTTTTTGTGTGTGTGCAAAAAACGACTTCCCTTGCGGAAGTAATCATAGAATGACCAAAAGCCTGTCCTCTTTTGTCTTTCGGGCATAAATCGCTCATGAGTTCGAAATGACAAGAGGAGAAAGGGAGCAAAACTCAGCAGGACACAAGAACACGTTCGACAGAAGCCTTGAAAGTTTTCTGGAAGCCCTTCCGAAAAGTGTCGGAGGGGCTTTTGTTTTTCTCGGAGCCGTTTTGCAAGATGTTCTTTCGGCTTCCAGAATGTTGGTGAGGGGAAGGAAAAATGTAGAAAGCGATGTGATTATCCTTTGAACTCTTTAGACAAAATTTTTAAAGTTCAAAAAAAGCGTTACAACTGTTACATTTCTATTAAGTTGTTGAAAATAAAAAAGATAAAGCGTAACACTTGTGTTACACAACTGTTACATGCGTTACAGGGTGTTACGCCCTGTTACGCTATGTGTTACGTTTTTAAAACACTGAAATACAACTATATAATACCCCAAATGTAGCAATGTAACGCATGTAACACTTTTTTCGCTAAGTTTGCGCACAATCACAGCACAAATCTTTTTTCAAAAAAATATTGCATTTTGCTTTGAAGTGTCAAAACTATGCTATATCTTGCGCTCGTTTACTATAATATAATATGCAACGGGTATTAACGATAAAGGAAGTACAGGCTATAATCAATGTCTCTAAATCCAAAGCTGCAAAGATGATTCAGCATTTAAGAATAGTCTTGGACAAGCCAAAGCCTAAAATCGTTACCGTTGAGGAATTTTTAAAGTATTATGAGTTATAACTAAATGTGGCATTAAGATTGAAGAACGGAGTCCCTTGCTCGTGTTAGTGCGTGAATGCTGGTGCGTGCCTCTGCATCTAATACAGTGAAAAGGCGTAAAAATAGACTGATCAACAGCGAGCAAGCCGTTTGTTTTTTAATATAGATATTATGGGAGGATTCAAAGATAAACTAAAAGTTATTCCCGCTGACATGGGAAAGGTTACGCAGGCAGCTGCTATTACTTCTTTACTTATTTCTGGAACAATGTTCTGCACTGGAAATAAACAACTTCAACAATATTCAAAGATTGCCTGGCAGGTAACATCCCTTTGTGGTTTCGCTTGGCTTTGCTTTGGTCAGTCTAGTGTAACCAACCGCTCTGATGAAATTATTTATTGCCTTGATGAAGTTTCGGGTCAGATTAAGAAGTGCCTTCCTGGCGAGACATTGCACAACATTGACGGCATAAGGGTAGGAGACAAAGTCTATAAAGTGTCGGATGGAGTTTCCGTTCAAGTATCGGGGAATAATAAAGTGGAGTTTACTTCTTTCTTTTCCTCCGTTTATCAAAAAATGGTAAGTGTCAATTTTCTCCTGACAACACCAGACGAATATTTCAAGCCTTTGTTCGAGGTATAACCTACTGAGGAAGCAGTCTAAAAGATTGCTTCCTTTTGTTTTGTTTCCTAAGTTTCCCTCTATTCCTTTAAGTTTCAACCATTTAAACCTTATTTATTATCTTTGTATCACAATCGAAAACATGATAAGTGATGCAAAATATTTTACTCTACACAATAATCGGAGCAGTCGCAATGATTGCCATTTCGTACGGAAAGACAGCCAAAGGTCTTACGGATCTTTCCCTTTCTCTCTATAGTCTGAAGGTACACTCTTTCAAGAGCGGACAACTCATCTTGCGTCTATCCTTGCGTATCGTGAACACTGGAAGCGGTGATGTAGTCTTTAACAACATCTCCGGCAAAGTTCTCGAAAACGGCTCTTTGATAGGTACTTTCAATAAGTTACCTAAGGTTGACAAATGGGTCTGCCCTGGCAAAGGGGCAGTTACATTGATTAACGATATAGAGATAAAGTGCGAGATTGTCGATACAGTAAAAAGTCTTCTTTCCCTTGTTACTGGGCAAACTCTTAACCTCACTATTAGCGGTGATATGATAAGTAACGGCAACACTCTTCCTTTCTCATTCGACAAAAAGATTACTCTATAATGGAAAGTCAGGAAGTTCTGTTGTTGGCTAAAAGGCTTGTTCCAGATACTTCGTCCCGTGTCGAGTACCTGAAGGACGGAGGAACAAAGGATATAATCAAAGCCATAAAGTTATGCTTGCCCTCTTCTGTGCGACAGACAGCTGAGTTTTCTCAGGCGTTGCTGTCTGCTTGCCATAATGACAAAGGGGAAATGTTGCGCACGCTATACTCCTTTCTCGTGGATCGTGTGCCTTTGGTTATAGATCCGTTAGGTGTTCAGAACATTAAGAAACCTTCGGTGCTTGTCCATGCTTCGGAACTCGGGGCAGACTGCAAGAGTTATTCTCTCTTTATTTCGTCGGTGCTGTCGAATGTTGGCATTCCCCACCGCTTCAAGTTCGTAAGCTGGAGAGAGGGCGACGAAGTAAGGCATGTTTTTATCGAGGCTTTTCTATCCGATAAGAGAATAGTTCTTGACTGCAACATGAAGAAGTTCGATGCCGAGAAACTCCCAAATTACAATAATACATACATAGATATGACAAGAATTTCAGCAATAGGGGATGTCCCCAAAAAACAAGAGATAAAGAAGATTAAGAAGGGATCTTTATTCAATGGTCGTCCCATGAACCGCATGAGCGATATTGAAATAGAGATTAGACTTATTCGTCAAGGTTTGCAGAACGAAAGAGATTCTATTCAGCGCATCGCAGGTATAGGCTCGGACGATCCTGTTATCGTGCAGTACGATGGAGCAATAGGCATGACAAATGATTTGATCTGTGAGATTGCAAACCTTGTCGATACTGGCGATTATGTGAACTCGGACAGCCGTATTGCAGGTATCGGATATGACTTTGCTACTGGTGCTTATGGCGTGTCTGCTATCGGAGATGCCTTCCAGCCTATTGTCTATACAGAGGGCGAAGGTATAGGCGCATTCCGAAAGAACCGCAAGGCAAAAGCTCACCTCGCTCCTGATGCTCCAGCTCGTGCAAGAATGAGGAGACACCGCTTAGAGCGAATAGAGAAAGGCAATGCCCCAACACTTGACGATGTGGAGAAAGAGAACGCCCATATCGGCAAAGTGTTCAAGAAGATTGCAAAGGCTGTAAAGAAAGCAGCTAAGACTGTTGCTAAGACTGTTGCCAAGACAACGAAGAAAGTAGTCAAAGCAACGGCGAAAGCAGTGGCTAAGGCAACAACAACAGTAGCAAAAGGTGTTGCTACAGCAGTAGTTGCAACTGCCACAGCTGGACAGGCAAAGAAAACTATCAAGAAACTTGCAAAGAGTACAGCCAAGGATGCAAAGGCTTTTGCCAAAGCAAACAAAGACCTTGTTACTGCTCCTGTTGGTGCGCTTGCCGAAGTGTTGCTCGAGGAATGGTGTCCACAGATAGGTCCTTTCTTCCAGAACGCATATTTGTCAGATGCAGATGCTAAGAAGTATCTAAATGCCAAAGGACAGCAGAGAAGAAACAAGGCAAAGAAGCTTCGCTCTCTACTTATCAAACATTTGAATGTAGATAGCAAGAAGTTTGACAAGGCGATAAAGAACTCCATACAGAAGCAGACAGGCAAGACACTCGAGGCGAACCTTCAGAACCTCAAGAACATTGCCGAGGGTAAACCTGCTATTGCCGCCATAGGCATGGCTCCCGGAATGGTTTCTGCGATTATGTCCGCTGTCATGGCTCTTCTTGCGCTTCTCTTAAAACGATTTGCGGGCAAGGATGCTGCCGCTGAGTTCTCTGCGTTGGCACTCACAACAGCTGATGCGGCAAACGACTCTGAGGATTGGGTGAACACTTGATGACCTCTGCCTCTAATGGTGTTACTAAGTTAGTGAATACAGCCTCTAACATCAAGAACAATGTTTTGGCTACAGCCTCTAACATCAAGGACAATTTAGTAAATCAAGCTTCTAATTTGGTTGAGTCAGCCTCTAACCTTACTAACCTCCAGATGCTGACAGGTAGTGCGCTTAGCCCTTTGGTGCAAAGTTCGGGAAGTGATGCAGACGCAATGAATACAACAACTTCTCCGGATGTCGATGCTATAACAAACAGAGAGGTCAGCCCGTCTGGTGAAGCTCAGGGAGCAAGTGCAGCCTTGAACACTGTTGCGTCGTCTATGGCAGAAGATACAAAGGACGATGCACAGCCAAGAGCGACAACAAGACAATGCTTTATATAGCCGGTGCAGTCGCCGCTGTCGGTGCTGTCCTTATGCTAAAGAAATAACTAATATTCTATAGAAATGGCAAATGTGAAAAAGAAAGGTGGAAGCAGTTCCATCGAAGCAAAGAAACGAGAGCTTCGCAAACTTTCCGCTCAGATTTCTCTTGAGAAGAAGAAGAAGTCAGAAGAGAAGAAGAAAGCTCTTTTGGCAAGACGAATCGAGCAGATGAAGAAGACTCTTGCTACTTTAAAAAGTAACAAAAAGAAGTAATGTAATTTTTTAAGACATGGCAAAGAAATTCGACTTAAAGCCCGTACTAGTGAATACTGCGGGAGCGACTGTAGGAGCAGTTGCAAGTAACTTCGCCACAAAGCTTCCTTTCAATTCAAAGGTTTCTGAGGGTATTGCAATTCTTGCAGGTTGCGCCCTTCAGGCTTTGATGCCAAAGAACGAGCTTGTAAAGGCGGTAGGTGTTGGTTTGGCGGCAGGTGCTGCCTCTAAGTTGGCGGCTGAGTTCGTTCCAGCCATTGCAGGCTTTGACGATGCAGTGGGCGGTTTTGATGACGCAGTAGGTGCTGTTATCTATGACGATGCCGAGACAGGTGCTGAGTACACAACACAGAACACTGGCGTTGCTGGTGTATATGACGATTTAGACGACTAAATCAATTTATTAACAATTTAAAAGAATAGAAAAATGGTTAGAAATAATCAGTCTCTACAGAGACAAACTTTCGATATGTTGCAGAACAAGTACCCTGGCAAGGAGATTTCTCCGCACTTCCTTCGTGCCGAGGTTGTTTTGAAGGACAATGTGAACAAGTACAAGTTCGACCACCGCTCACTAGGCAACGAGTCTTCGACAGAGAAGAAGCTTGACCGTAACGACCTTGTCTATGTTACAATGACACAGCTTTGCTGGATTGAGTGCGTGGCGGGAGAAGAGGCAACAGCTGCCCTTAATACTTTTGCGCCAACAACAGAAGATGCAAAGGATTTGGAGGCAATCTATAACGGCTTCATTTCCCTAAAGACAGGTAGCAAGGTAAACTTCGAGTCCCTTCCTACACAGCACTTCAAGTATGTTCCTGAGCGTGTAGGTGATGACTCGACAGGTGCTCCTGCTCAGTACAATGTGCTTGATTCTGCTTATTCAGGTGTAGAGGATTTGTACCTTCACGGAACAAAGTCTCACGAGATTACACTTGAGTTCCCTTCTAAGCCAAATATGAATATCGAGAAAGCCGGTGTTGTCCGCAAGGCTGTCTTGATTTTCTACGGCTTCATTATCAAGAATGGAGCAGACGCTTTGAACAAGTAAGTCTCATTGTTGTTTTTTGTTTAGGGGGTGAGGGAGAATGTGCCTCCACCCCCTTTTAATTTTAGAAAATTATGGTAAAAATTAACAGAGCAGAAGGTGTTTATTTCAAGGGCGATTTCTCAAGAAAGGCAAGGATATTCTTCCCCGAGAATCTTAGGCTAAGAAACAAGACTATAAATTATATCTATGCCTTTGCTTCTCCAGAGCAACTGGAGACTGGGAATATCCGAAGAAAGCAGATTCCCTTCGTTATGAGAATGGCATATATACATCTGCCCTTAAATTATAATGAAGACGACTCTGTCCTTACAGCTATTGACAGCACAGCTGCTCGAGGAACTTATGTCTGTTTCGTGAACTCCGAGGATGAGGTAGTAAAACAGATTCCTCTTCCCGAACTATATCGCAAGACAAAATGCGGTATTCCCTTTGTCCTTAACGAGGTTATAGACTATGACAAGTCCTATATCGAAAATCACGGAGGAGCAAAAACTGAAGCTATTCTTTGTCTTTGCCCAGGGAACAGGATGTCAAGAAGAGGACCATGTCAGATACGACCATCTGGAAGTTCTTGACACAGACCCTAAGAGACAATGTTATCCAGAATGGGCTAATTATTGGGAGTGGTCGCCTATAGGAGTGCGTCGCCTGATGTTCCCGGATGTTGAATGTTTCAGAGGCAAGTCTCTTAAAGCTTTGAACATCCATTGCTCAAAAATGCAAGGAGATTTTGACTGTGTCTCAACTCCAGCCAACAGAATGATCTTCACCGACTACATTGTGAATCGTTCGCTACTGACACTTACAGACAATAACGGCGACGAAATCATCTATAATGTTCCGCTTTGTGCTTTCCGTCCTGACTTCACGACTAACGGAGCGTTGTTCGGTTTTGCAGACCTATCTATTAACTGGAAAGCGTTGCTATATCGAGGACTATTCAGACAAACTTTTGGATCTGTACAAGTCAAAGACAATGAGCAACATTTCTTGCTTCTATTTCTCAGTTCAATTATCTAAGTAAAACTATCATGACTAACGAAGAAATCTTGCAAATATTCGACGAGGAGAAAACCCCGTACTGGTGTCTGTTGCACAAGAAGTCCAAGGGAACACTTGGCGAATGTGGCAAGCAAGGAGGCAAGGAAGATCGTACTTTAGGAGCGAGCAGATCCAAACTTGCTAATAAACTTTCTCAATACCAATCTTACCCTTGTATCGTCTATTTCTTCGACACAAAAGAGGAACTTCTGGACGGGTTGAAGAATAAGGACCTGGAGAAGATGCCGTGCATAGCATTTGCCGAAAACACAGTCGTAAAGCCGAACATAGCGGATGCCCCCTCTATCTCTGGTATTACTCCCGCTCCTTTTGTTTCAGAAGAGGATATTGAGAAAAAGAGCAAATGACAAGTTCTCTACTTTCCGCTTAGAGTTTGAACTTAACCACCTGAAAAAGGATAATTCGGACTTGCGAGACGAAAACAGATACCTGAAGCAGAAGGTAGCAGAACTTGAACGAGAAATCGAGAAGAGCAGCTCGTAACACAATAAACTCTTTTGTCGGTGCTGTATCTCCATTTCTCCCTATGATTCAAAAAGCTTTCGGAGGTGCGCCTTCAGGAGCTATTAACGGATTACCTCAAATAAAAACAAAAAGAACAATGAAAGAGACTATTGTAAAAAGAATGCCAGCTGATGAATTGGCACTACTTGACGAGATTAAAAGAATTGAGCCTGAAGCTTGGAAGACACTTCTTGCTAATATTGTCCGCCTTCACGATGAAGACAAGACAACTTACGACATGGCTCGCAAATTTTTAATGTAATATGGCGAAACTAATTGTATTCAAGAACCCTGACAAGACTTTTGTCAAGTGCAAGGACTCTGTGAAGACTTATGTTAATATCCGTGCTAACAAAAGCACCTCTTCTTCTATCATGGGGCGATTGCTCCCTGGGGACAGACTTCCTATCAGTCTTAATAGCGAAATTCTGGACAACGGCGAAACATGGTACCATGTAAAGCTTCTCTCTGGTGTTGTAGTGGATATGTCCGCTCTGATAATGTTGATGTCGTAGAGAATAGTTCCTCGTACTCTCAGGCTCAAACTCAGGCTCTGGTTGATTCCCTTGTTGCTCAGGACAAAAAGAACTATGACCTACTGCTCCAACTAAGCAAGACAGCCGAGGAGTTGAAAGGGAAAGGCCATACCGTTAGCTCTCAGCAAAAAGAACTTTCGGACATTGCCTTGAGGTTGTCTGAAAGACAGTCCGCACTGAAGAATGAGTCTTGGTTTGGCTCTATCAAAAACACAATCTCTTCCTATTGGGAAAGTGCTAAGAGTGCTTTCGAGAAACTCCTTGCTTCTGTCTCTGGCATAGGTGCTATACCTGTCATTCCCGTGATTATTGCTGCCGTTGCTGTCCTTTCTGCAGGTGTCGGCGTTGGCTACATCTGTTTTGCTCCAAAGTACGAGCAGAGCAAAGTGGATTGGACAAGCTCAACTCTCTGAAGAAAGTGTTTGACGAAATGGCAAAAACTAACCTAAGGCTGTAGATGATGCCAAAAAGGAGATTCAGGATCTGACAGACGACGCCTATAACAAGGGCAAGAACGAGGGTAACTTGGGACGGAGTATGGTCCATTGTTAAGCCTATTGCGTTAATGGGTGCAGGCTTCTGGCTTGTAACTAAATTTATCGACACGCAGAAAAAGAGACGATAGCATGACAGTAGATGAATTTTACATACATTTCGCAAGTGCAGGAATGGCGGTACAAAGGAAGTACAAAGTGCCGTACCTTTCCGCACTTGCCCAATGTGCTCTCGAGACTGGTTGGGGAAAGTCTAAGCCTGGAAACATGTGTTTCGGTATAAAGATTACTCCCTCATATACTGGCAAGACTCAGGAGCTTACAACGACAGAATATGTAAACGGAGTGAAGCAGACTGTAAAGAGCAAGTTCCGTGCCTATGACAGCATCGAGGAATCTTTCCTGGACTACGGCAATTTCCTTACTGTCAACCCTCT